GGTCCAATCCTCAGCACCACATAAAGATAAATAAATAAAAATAAAGGCATTGTGTCCAACTACAACTAAAAATTTAAAAAAAAAAAACAACTTAATACTAGAAAATCAAATAATGCAATTAATAAAGGGACAAATGAATTAAGCAGATACTTCTCAAAAGAAGAAATACAAATGGCCAACAAATATATAGAAAATGTCCAACATCATTAGCAATTAGGAAAATGAAAATCAACTACACTGATATTTCATCTCACAGCAGTCAGAATAGCAGTCATCAAGAATACAAGTAGTGCCGACCACGCTGAGTGCTGACCACACCGAATGCTGACAACTGTGATTCCACGAGGAGTCGAACCACAAAGTAAAGTGAGCAGAGGCGCAGGAGAGGAGGCCTTGGATCAGGGACCCATCAGAGGAGTAAAGATGATTTTGAGAGTGGGCGGGGTGGGCTGGAGGTCAGGGGACACAGGCTGAGATCTGTCCCGCAGGGCAGACCCTGGGTTTGGCACAGGTGAGGAGGACTGTGCCAGAGGCCCCTCCATGCCCTGTGTCAGGTGGCCATGGCCGATCAGGCAGGCTTAGGTGGTGGGCCTGTCTGCAGGACCCCTGGTGAAGGACGTCATGGGTTTCAACACACAGTCCCTGGTGGCGGGGGCTAGCCACGAGGCTGGAGGCCAGCCACGAGGCTGGAGGCCTGAGCCGCACAGGACTCCCCTCAGAGGGAGCAGGAAGTGAGAAGCAGACGCTCTGCTGGCCCCCGTGGCATTCCTAACCAGTGTGTCTTTGCACCTGTGCTTTGTGAGGACGCCTGGTGGTACAAGAGGATGTGCCTGTCAGCAGGGACACATGGTCAGAGGCACAGGTACAAGGTAGGCCCTCCACACAGTCTGGCTGCAGCAGGGTTGGCGGGGCCAAGTCCTAGGCCCAGGCTGCTGCTGGGGGCAGCACTAGCAAGGTGGTGGCTGCAGTGTGTGGCCCTGGGGAGGTGACTGGCCAGTAAAGAGGAGGGACAGCTAGCGGTAGCTCTTCCTGTTCACTTAAGACACAGCCATCTAAGGCCTACCCCGACTTCGGGAATGGTATTCAAGTAGTGATGCCACCTGGTTCCTTGTGCCTCCTGCCCAGGTAACAGCAAAGCTCAGGGGAAGCATTAAAACACCACTGTAAGAATCTGCATTTTAGGGCTGGGGATGTGGCTCAAGCAGTAGCGCGCTCGCCTGGCATGCGGCCTGGGTTCCATCCTCAGCACCACATACAAACAAAGATGTTGTGTCTGCCAATAACTAAAAAATAAATATTAAAAAAAAAATCTCCTCTCTCTCTCTCTCTCTCTCTCTCTCTCTCTCTCTCTCTCTCTCTCTCTCTTTAAAAAAAAGAATTTGAATTTTAAATCAGAGCCAAGCTACCACAAACTCAATTGTACAGAGAGTTACATATTTTTAGAAAAATTATTTTGCAAGAACTCTCGGCTCTAGCTGTACTCAACCTTATATCTTGAAGTAATTTATCAGAAATTCATCCCAATGCGGTCACAACCTATGAAAGGCTCTTAGCAGTTTTGGTAACAGTTGCATCAGCAGAAAAATCTTTCAAAATTAAAAATCACCAACAGTTCCTTGTGATCTTGCATTTGTGAAAGGAGAGGTTGCCTGCGATCCTATCAACAGAAAGCGAAGTTGCTCGAATTCCTGAGAAAATGCTCAACCTCAATATCATCGGGAAAGTGCAGATCAAAACCACAAGGAGAGCATACCAATCGCTGGCAAGGAGGCAGAGACAGAGAATGCTCCTGCCCCATTGGCGGGAATGTGAATTAGCGCAGCTGATGTGGAAAACGGCAGCATGAAGGCTCCTCAAACCACTAAAAATAGACCTATGGATGAGTCAGAAATCTCACTTTGGGGGTATATCCAAAGGAAACAAAGCCTGTCAAAGAGATACCCACATTCCCATGCTTATTGCTGCACAATTCACAATAGCCAAGAAGTGGGATTAACCCAGATGCCCACCAATGAAAGGACGGCAAAGAAAATGGTATGTATGCACAGTGGAATATTATCCAGCCATAAAAAATGACATTCCATCATTTGCAGGAAATTGGACGGTGCTGAGGACATTATGTCAGAGGCACAGGTGCAAGGTAGGCCCTCCACACTTGAATGTGCCTGAAATGTCAGACATGGAAGGACAAGTTCTGTTGTGTTCTCATAGGTACAAGGTGAAAAGAGTGTATCGGAATGTAGGACAGCAATTCCTAAAGGCTGGGGAAGGAAAGAGGAGGTGGCAGATGATCAGAACTAAAACATGGGACGGGGTGCCAGGTTCTGTGTTCTGCAGGACACCAGGTGACTAGTCTCCATACCTTGCATATCTTAGGAATAACAGAAGAGGACCTCCAAGCCCCAAAACAGAAAGTAAGGAGAGGGAAGCAGAGGGAAGCGTTAATGACCCCGACTTGATCAGAACACATAGTGCCGTCAGAACCTCCCACCGCAAATGCACAGTTACTGTCTTAATCAAAAACAAAGGAATTTAAGGAGATGCTAACTAGCCTGACCGGGTTATTACTAACTTTAAATCTTAGTGTTAGATTATCACACTGAACACCATAAATATATACAATTAAGATAATAGTAAAAAGATGCTCTTTTGTACTAAAAGAGGAAATGAAATTCCTTTAAATTTTGATAACTTAATAAATGAATTTCCAGAAAAGTAATCCAGGAAGATGAAAACAGCAATAAAGATATCCTATTAGTAAAGTAAAAAAAAAATACAAGTAATAATAAATGTTAAAAAGGATGTGGAGAAAAACTGTTGGTGAAACTGTAAACTAGTACAACCACTATGGAAAACAGTATGGAGGTTCTCAAAAAACTAAGCATGCAACCACCATATGACCCACCTATAGCAATCCTCAGTATTTACACTGAAGAATTAAAGTAATCACACTACAGTGATACATGCATACCCATGTTTATAGCAGCACAATTCACAGCAGCCAAACTATGGAACCAGCCTAGGTATCTTCAATGGATAGAAGGATAAAGAAAATGTGGTATATTTATACACAGTGGAGTTTTATTCAGCCATGAAGAAAAACGAAAGTATGGCATTTGCAGGAAAATGCATGGAACTAGAGACCATCATGTTAAGTGAAATAATCAAACACAGAAGGTTAAGGGTCATATGTTTTCTCTCATTTGTGGAAGCTAGAGAGGAAAAAAGCAAACAAAAGTGGGGTGGATCTCATGAAAATCAAAGGGAAATCAGTGGAAGAAATGGACCAAGGGGTGGGAGGAGTGGAGGGACGGGTTAAATGCTGGGGAGTAAAATTGGTCAAATTATATTGTTATATTGTGTGCATTTACCAATATGTAACATCAAATCCCATCATTATGTGCAACTATTATGCAGCAATAATAAATGTAGAAAGAGAAAAAAAGATCAGTGATGTAAATGAGGCACCAGGGCATAGGACATGGAAGGACAAATGAACTTGGTACTCTGTGGCAATGCTGCCTGGAATACAGTATACAACATGGTATATACAGGGTTTACTGAACCATGTATATACTATTTATGGTTTGAAGCATCCAATGGGAGTCTTGAAATGTATCTCCCGAGGATAAGAGGGGCACAACTGTATACTTTTCTCCACAAATACATATTAGACAGAATAAATTGTATTCCCAAAGTAGAAAATGAAAGGGAAAATTCTAAAACACTTTATCCCTATAACCTGCTTTATTTTTCTTCATAGCACTAACAATATATTCTATAGAACAGATGTGTGTAGTTGTTTTTTTCCCTCCAACATGGAGGTCAGCTTCAGGAAGACAGTCTTAGTTTTGTTCACTTCTATATCATCAGTTCCTAGAACCAAGCCTGACATCTTTGAAGAATGTTGAATGGCTCTTCTTGTATCAAATGCAGGAAGAGGACCCACATGAAAACATTTCTGCATCTTTTGCAAACCTACGTTGGCTAGTACTGTCCACTGTTTTCCAGAGTTCCTGATATGTGACATAAATTTTAGTAGAACTCAATACCATGTGAAAGCTTTTCTTTTCTGAGCTCATGTTTTTCACTAGTTGGATTTACCTTCATTTTCATGAAGCTCAGAGCACAATTCAGTGCTCAAATTGCAGAGTTTCCCTTAGACCAGTTTTCTGATGTGGAGATGGGATATAAATAAGTTTAAGAAGATTCTGCTGGTACATGTTTTAAGACACTACTTTTAACCACAGATTGCATTTATTCTAAGACAATGCTTCTCAAACTTGAATGTGCCTGTAAATTACCCAGGGACCTAGTTAAAAAGCTAAATAAAACACCGAATCTGACTCAGTGGGTCAGGGACAGGGCATATGATGCTGCATTTCTAACAATCTCCCTGGTGATGCCAATGCGGTTGGGCCCTGGCCCACACTTTGAGTAGTACAGAGTCTAAGAACCTTGCATCCTTGATTCAGCGAAATTTCTCTCTCCTCTTCCTTGGCAAAATATGACCAAAGCTTGAAACCTGAAGCAGATACCAAAAGCATCTAGGGAGCTGGTTATACCTACACGTCGCGCCCTCCACCTCCACCCCCACCCCAGCCCCACCGCAATCCCAACACAAAGGTATAGGAATCTGCCCAGTAAGTTCCCCAGGTGCTTTTGCTGCAGGTGGCCCCACACACTTTTCGAAGATGACTGCTCTTTCCAAGGCTTTCCCTAAGGTAAACTCGTGAGGACAGCTGTTGTCACCAGTGGTGACACCTGCTTGTTCAGGATTTTAGCGGAGGCCAATCTCCTGGTCTGTAGCTCAGCACCAAGAGAGGCCCCATGTTTCCTCTCCAGCTACACTGATCCCGGCATGGTCGCACCCCGCACCTCCGCCCAGCACAGCCTGGTGCCTCAGCCTCAGGCCTGCGAGGCGGGGGTCGGGCCGCTCAAGCACAGAGCGACCCGGGGCCCCCAGGGCGGGGTCCACACGCGTCCCCCGCCTGCCTTACCTCTCTGGACCAGGATAGCCAAGAAGAGAGCGAGGGAGACAAGGACCGCCGAGCGCCAGGCCACCATGGCTGGGACAAGGCGGAGGGGCCCCAGAGGAGGACAGCGCGAGAGGACCCGAAGGGCAGGTCGAGGAGGAGCAGGAGGAGGAGCCCTGCTACCACTGCAAGGCCCCGCCCAGAGCCGGTGCGCGCTGCGCGGCCCCGGGAGGGCCGGGGAAGGGGACGCGCGAGTGCTGGCGCCTGCGGGCGACGCGGCAGGGGCAAGGCTGGCGGGGCGGGACCAGGCTTGGGTCTCTGTAGCCAGGCCGCAGTCTGAGGGCGGGGGCGATGGGCGTGGCCAATGCCGGGAGGCGGGGCCGCAGGCTCCCAGTGGGTGGAGCGGTCTGATTTCTGGGGCGCCGCCCGCACACCCCTTCCCTCCTGGTTCCGGCCATTGAAAGCACTTAGGGGCGGGTGGGCAGGGAGTAATAAGTTGCCTGAGGCCGAGAGCCAGAGGCTGCCGTGGCGGGCGTGTGCGGTGACTCCCCCCAGGCCTGAGTGCACTTGTCGGAGCGTCTGCCAGCTCTGTGACCTTGGCCAGGACTCTTCCCCTTCTGGCCCTGAAGTTCTCCCCAAGAAAGACTGTTCCCCGGGGACCCCTCCAGCCGCCGCTCCAGAACCGAGCATAAGAGCCTTTCGCTGCTCCCTGAAGGAAGATGTAGTGAACCCTGTCTCAAAAGTAAAGAAAAGGTGCCGTTTTTTTCGTGTCTGACCGCGGTCAGCAGGCAGCGGCCCGGGGGTGCCAGGGCGGATGAGAGGAAACGGGACCGGCCCAGAGGCAGAGCGCCTCGTGCTCCGGAGACTTGGTGTAGGGCCAGGGTCAGCACTCCCTAGGCTTTCTGAATGCGCTGAAAGTGCAAGTTCACAACTGCAGAATCGATCTGGAAAACCCCATTACCAACAAACGCGCTGCAGTCCTTTCCCATGAACACCCGCAGATGGAGATCATCTCCCAGATGGAGAGAAATCAGATTGTGACACCACCACGGACAGCAAGATGCCCCCCTGCAACCTTTCCGTGAAAGCTTTGTAGAAGAGCCCCAGCTGCAAGTAACATTCAAGGACAAAGAGAAAGCGCCACTGTGCTCCGGAGTGACAGCATTGAGCCTGTCCCTGCCATTATGGTTCACAGAAGGTCCTGGACCACATCTTTCTTACAGAGCGACTACTGCCACTTTCCCCCAATGCCCATTAGGCAGCCTTCCTGTGCCCCGCCCCCCCAGACCTGCAGTGGTTCTCCCTGCCTCCTCAGCTTCCATTCATTGCTCTGAATCCTGGGGCTGCAAAAAACCAAATGGTGTGTAAGGAGTCAGTCTTCTGATTTTCAAAGCAGTGTTTATTTTGTTACATGAGCTAGAGAATGAACAGAAGTAGCTGCAGTCACTGAACTGGCACTCTACACATGGCACATTTCAGGCATTTACCTTTATATTTTATTACTTACAATGACCTTATGCATCACTGCAATAATTAAGGAGGGTGAATGAGCTAAGCGGTTCCTTGAGGTTGAGGAGGAAGCCAGTCCCAGGCCCACAGCATCAAAGGAGGAAGTCCTCCTGCCACCAACAATAAAGGAGGAAGCCCAGTCAATAAATGGCTAAGAATTTGTACTTTAGTACCAGATGTGGTACAAATACTGGCTGGACCTGAAAAGTGGGCAGCCTAGCACACAGTGATGATGGTAGAATTATTACTTGTTGTAACAGCTGAAGAAATATTGGCTACTGTTGACTGTGGGAGGTTACTGTGTATTCCAGACTGTAGAAATGCCCCCAATTTTTCCACTAAATCTAGATGCCCTGGGCCATTATTTAACTGTCTGACCTTGGTGGTGACTTCTACTAATGGACCACTACATGGTCTATAGGAGCCCTTCAGACTGTGATGGGTAAATGCTGTGGAAAGTACAACCCCTAAGGTGAGGCCATCTCAGTCAGCAGGCAGTGTGGTGACACCCAACCGAAACTCTGCTACATGTGCATCAGAGACAACTGAACCGGCCAGCCAAATGCCTGCCATAGTAATGTGTGATAGGACTGTCTTCTAGCTCAGGGGCAGGTTACACACTGCAATCTGTGGGCCAAATCTGGCTCACCCACTATTTTGTGCAACCTCCCAGCTAAGAGTACATTTTACATTTTAAAATTATTGCCAAAAACTCAAGTATTTTATGAAATAAAACATTAATACAAAATTCAAATTTCAGGGCTATGAAGTTTATGGGAACACAGCCATGGCCGTTATTTTCTGTATTTTCTATGGCTATCTTTGTGCTACCACAGCAGAAATGAGTACTTGGAACAGAGACTACAGGGCCCACAATGCCTAAAATATTTGCTATCTAGCCCTTTACAGAAAAAGATTGCTAACCTCCATTCCAGCAAATTGAACAATGGCATGAATTTATATTGAGTGGTAAAGATGTGGAACCTCAAAAGAATGCTTCTCTAGAACATATGATAAGCACACACACAAAAAAAAATGACCTGTTCTCATACAGGAATAAAAACCAAGAGAAAAGGACAATGGTTATCATGTGCCAAAAGACACTTGTAAGGGTCCGGCGGACGACCGAGGAAGAGACCACCAAGAGACCGGCTCATGCAACAGCAAAAGGGGATTTATTGAGGATCCAATCCAGTGCGCTGGGGCTCCAGGCTCACTCAAGAAGTGAGAGTGGCCAAGAGCCCCGAGCAGAGGTTAAGCAGTGCTTAAGTACACTTTTTGGGGAGGGCGGGGGCTTTGCATACATCAGAGCAAATCATCATGAGGCACGGGCAAATCGAACAACAATTCTTGAACATGATTAGTACATTCATTGGTGGGAACAGGTCCGGCGGGAGTGATAGGTCAATCCTAAGAAGGGGGTACATTCAAACTGATTGGTTTGGGCCCTGAGATGCCTACGTGCCAAGCTGCACAGGGTCCTAGGCTATTAAACAACTAGATGGTCAGGGGGAATATTTACTGGGCAGTCCCGGGAATTGTCCTAACAGCTACAGGAATTTCAGGTTTTAGGTGTAGCATAGGAACTTAACAATACCTGGTCCTTTACATTTTAACTCAGGCTTTGCAGCTTAGAAACTTTACAACACCCTGTCTTTTACACTTTAACTTCAATTTCTTTTACCCTTACACACTCACTCAAAAAAAAAAAAATTCATTCATTAAAATATTGCAAATGCCCAAGATCAGTTATCGTACCAATGAAGCCAGATTCAAAGATAGGTAGTTAGTGTAGTTAGGTAAATCTGGGTCTAATATTTAGTAAAGAAAATGGAGACCATGATTGAGAATGGAGTCCAGGAAACCAGAGCTGCACTTGGGGAAATTGAAATGTTAATGTCCCCAAGGCCCAGAACCCATCCTAAGGAACTGTTAATGAAGTAGCTCCCAGTAAACAGGGAGGTGCTAACCAAAAACCACCCCAGGCCCTTCCTGCTCAGATTACTCCTTCAGCCCACCTATGCCCTCCTTTTGGCCTTCCCATCTGCATTCTATCACTGAAAGATGAAGGGAAACAAAGGAAATGAGTGTGGGAAAGCTGAAAGAAGACCTTAGCTGTAAAAAAGGGAAGACTTCGCCCTTTCATGGATTCTGCCCAGGGAGAAGTAAAGACTTCTGTCCTTTAATTCTGCTGTCCTTTAATAAAGCCTTCCACTTTGCACTCTACACTTGCCTCTGCGTGCTTCTCTGGTGTTATACTTCAGCATTCGGGGAAGCAAGGACTCATCACTGGTAAATAGCAGTAACACCAGATAACTCTCCCTTTATGTTATGATGCATATGGAACCTAGTTTGTCTCTCTGTGTCTTGTAAATTGGGTTAATATGAGTCTATCTGATGAATGTATGAGGTGGAACTCAATTGGATTGCTGCTACCTTGCTGAATTGAAAGTAAGCATGAAATTTATATACATATAGAAAATTCTACACTTAGAAATCATGATCTGTACCTGCAACACATACACACATACTTCCCATTGTCAATACACCTGAGTTCTGGGACCAACTCATGGCCAAGCCTGACTCCACCACACACCCTCCCCTTGTCCCCACCCTCTTTTCCCCCTCCCCAGGAGCACTTAACCACTGAGCAACATCCCTTTTTATACTTTAGAGACAGAGTCTCACTGAGTTACTTAGCACCTCATTTTTGCTGAGGCTGGCTTTGAACTTACAATCCTCCTGCCTTGGCCTCCTGAGCCATTGGGATTATAGGTGTGTGACACTGTGCCCAGCTCCCACCATCTTGCTACACCTGAATTTCTCATGCCCTGAAAATTGTCACCAATTGGAAAAACCATTTGGTCCTCCAAGCCCCACTCCTAAAATGCCTGCCTTTCCCCAGCTCTGGCCCACGCAGAGAAGTGTGGCGTGGACAAATGTCCACCAAGCTAGCCTGAGAGCACAGCAGACACACAGACAAGACTGGGAGGTTTACACTAATGTGAGTTCAGTAGGCTCCTGAGGGCCAGCCCGGTATTCCCAAATCTCATCACACACTGTGTTCAAGGGAGGATGTGTTCTAAATTACAAAACAGCTGTTATCTCAGGGTCCCTGAGCCTCTGCAGCCTCCCAGAATAAATAAAATCACAGTGCTATCACGAAAGCAGAGTTCCTGTTCTTGCTCCCAACTGCCTCTAAACCCACCCTCAATACTATGTTTCAGCGAGTCCCTCAAGGGGGCGTCACTCACTCATGGCCCTCTAGGATCCTAGCTGGGTAAGAGATGGAAAAGAACACTCTGACTTCCACCGTGCTCCTGCTGTGCGAGCCAATTAAGAGACAAAGACTTGTTTGGACAAATGTTCCCCCCCCCCAAAAAAAAAAAATAAAACACTAGAGTACTGACCTTTATTCTGAAATCGTGAACTTTTTTGGAATACAAAAGTCCTTTATTTCCTGCAAAGATCGCAGTGTTTTGTTTAATGTGCTTACTTTGCAAAATAAAAAGTTGGCAACACTACTGTTCCCAAAATTTCAAATGAATAAAATAAAAAAAAAGAAATTTACTTGGCGAAATTCACAAAGCTGGGAACCACCAGCTATCCTAAAAATATTCAGCCTACTCAGAGCCTTGATATACAGGAATTTTTGGAAGATACCCCATATGTCAGTAGAAGCCTCTCATATTTTTCAAGTTATAAGGAAATTGTTTCAGGCTTTTCTGCCACTCCCCAGGGTGTCTTCTCCCTGCCTCTTGTCCTGGGGATTGAAC